ACAATAACAAAACCTATCTCAGACAGTCAGAGAGTCGATATGAAGATGAAATGAGATACAGTATGTAAAGCACTTAGCACAGAGTGCTAAAACTGCTTAGTAAGCTTAAGCAATTACTATTAATATCAATATCAATACTATTAATATCAATACAATGTACATAGAAGTATAGCAATTCTATTGCTCTGTGCTTTATTCAAGTCTTTTTCTCTTGGGTGGAAATTTATATATTTCTCCAAAGCTTAAGCTTTTTCTTAATTAATAGGTCAAATAATAAGCATTTATGATGTAATTAAAAATGGTGCAAGATAAGAAAAAAAAAAGCCTTTTCTCCCAAAATTGGATTGTAGATTGTTTTTTAAGTCAGGAACTATGTTTGAAAGGGTTTTCAGATTTCCTTCACAACTGAGCCAAATGTAGAGTACCTGGGGAGAATGAATAGAGTTTTTGATTGGTTTGAAACCAGAGCAAGGTATAAAGTCATATCCTATGACTAGAACTCAGTTGGAAATTTTGCACCTGCAAGCTGAGAAAGGCAGAATAGGTAGTCTTCAGAAAGCAGTAACTGAAAGCCCACTCAACGCAGAGCCCTGTTAACTACAGCATGCCTTTAGCCTAGGGCACCTTGACCACTCAGAAGAGAACCAGGTGTCTGGCCGGCCCTCAGCTACTATACCCTGTATGCAAGACTCTGCCTTGAAATCAAGTACAAGCTATCAGAAATGCTCAGAAAGAATCGCTCAGTTGATGCACAAAGTATTCTTCAAAACAGTGTAAATAAAACATTCCTGCTCACCATCTTTGATTCCTAATTATTTATTAGACTATCTGGCAAGGGTAATACCCCAAGAGATACAGCTTTTCTCTATCAGAGACTCACTGAAAGACAGTCATCAGGGCTACAAAAAGGAGGAGCAAGAGCAGCACACGTCAACCACCAGCGCCAAAAAAACATGTCTTTGGGTGTTTATGTGTCTGGAAAGTTTTGCATTTAAACACAATGAAGTTAATAAACACAGATTTATGAAATCCTGTCTTTCATCCACGAACTATGGCAGATTTGAAATACATGGATTCTATTTCTGAGTGTTGAAATTCAAAAGGATGGAAAAATCCCAGGACTAATTCTTAACCACAGTCACAATTTTTACTGGTTTGGAGAATTATCTTGACATTTTTTCCTCAATTGCATTTAGGCATCAGACTTCCCTGGTGGCTCAGAGCTAAAGAATCTTCCTGTAACACACGATACACAGATTCAATCCCTGGGTTAGGAGAATCCCCTGTAGAAGGAAATGGCAACCTACTCTGGTATTCCTGCCTGGGACATCCCATGGACAGAGCTAATCCATGGGATTGCAAAATAGTTGGACACAATTTAGTGACTAAATAGCAACAATAATCCAAGTGTATGTTTTATTCTAGTCTTTTAACTATTAAAAAAATAATCACCACAGTCCACACAGGTTGCCTTGGAATGTAGCCAGGGAAAGAAAAGGTAAGACTATCAAGAATATTCCAAATGCTATTAGTAATTTGGGGAACTTGAATATGTTGTTCTTTTCAAAATGATCACCAAAAGCATGTATTCTTTGGAGTTGAAATTTTGCTCCAAATATTTAAGGGACAAAGGCAAACCCAAAGAATGCTCAAACAACTTCACAATTGCATTCATCTCACACGCTAGTAAAGTAATGCTCAAAATTCTCCAAGCCAGGCTTCAATAATATGTGAACTGTGAACTTCCAGATGTTCAAGCTGGTTTTAGAAAAGGCAGAGGAACCAGAGATCAAATTGCTAACATCTGCCGGATCATTGAAAAAGCAAGAGAGTTCCAGAAAAACATATTATTGAAG